TATTCTCGATGCGTACGTTTTACGTTCGCTCACTGTTAGTCGTATACGAGTGCCACCGTATGCGACTATCGGCGTGTGGCTGAAATAAAGCGTAGACTTTAGAAGTCGTATACGATGCGTATAGCGCCGGTATTCACTCCAAAACTAGTCATAATTCGAATGTGTTAAAAACATCGTCTTGTTTCATCCCAAGTTTAAAGAACAGAGTCCTAAGAGTAAAAATTCATGCAATACAAAAGGACGTAGAACCAAAAAGTTATCGCAATGGATTATGCACCTTATCTAATTTATCATTTTAATGATGAGATATTAGATGTCGCAGCATATGAAGCGGGTTATGAACGTCATTTTCAAGAGCCATATGGTCCTTTCGAGCTTTGTGATCATCATTTTGTGGAAATTTTCCGTCTAAAAAAAGGGATGGTCGATGATTTGTTAACAATTGTATCGGATCGTACACCACCCCCTGTAAGGCGATATGCATTGGATCCTACTACTAAGGTATTTTTTATTTCTTTTAATTGTCAAAGTTAAAGATATAAGTAATCTCACTGCAATTGTGGATTTTATGACAATTGAGGGTACTAGCGTCTCTTAGATTTATCAGTTCTGGAAGTTATCAAATGAACATTGCGCGAAATTGTTACATTTGCATCAGTCAACCTTCAGTTAGTCGGTCTTTCTACTCAGTCATCAATATATCGACTCAACCTGATATCTTTAATGAATGGGTACATTTTCCCCGAAATATACAAGAATTGGAGCATGAACGTCGAGGGACATGATCGTTTACTTAACTGGAGGATTTATTACCTCTTTAATCACTTGGAACTTTTTGAACTGTCCTTCAGGGGTGGTGCATCCTATGAAACATTCCAGAGAAATATAATAATCTCTGGAACAATTCAAGAGTTTCCTAAATGATTCTGGAATTCTTCAGAGGATCCGATACCAGTTAGGACCATTCTAAAACTTGCTATAATTTTTAATAATTCTCTTGGTAATTGAATCCTCGAAAAGATCTCGAACCTGTTCGAGAAACATTTAGGAACCTGGCAAATCACGAGGATAGAGTGAAAAACTTCCATTCTGAAAAGTTTCGTGATTTTTTTCATAAATGGAGCGATTCCTAGAGAATTTATTAGCAATTTTGAACACTTCTGTAATATTCTAGGGGAATTCAATAATGTTTGGAAGACTGAAGAGTTCTCCAGGAAATTGTTGAATTTCTTCACCTGAGGCGCCACATGACGGAGAGGTGTCCAGTGAACGCCCCCATTTGCTATTTGGGGCACGTTCACACCTTTGATTTCTGCTACCTGCCACCTCGTGGCCTATTAATCGACCTCATTTGCTTTTCGACCATCCTATTGTATACATTGTGTTCTGCGAGTATATCGTTTCTCTCGAGTTCCGCGTATTAATTGCCCTGCGTTATTTAATGCTTTGAACTGCGTTAATTTTTATTGTGACCCGCGCTATTTGCTTTGACCATCTCGATAATTACGCTAAACTCAACACGTGTAGATATTGACTATTGTGATAATTAAACTGACTTTTGTGACCAATGTGCACGTGTTGGGATTTCTGGACCTTCTCGCGCTCCAGTAAACATCCATTCGCATCTCACTCATCGCTCGCAAATTCCACAAAAATCAGATCCGGCATTAAACATTTGGTCCTTCCAGCCGGATTTGCGGAATATTTTTTTGTTTTTTCGAGTTTTTCGCGAATTTTTCGGGAGTTAAATGGACAGAGTGTTCTCGGCCAGTGCTGCTCATCGCTCGATTCCACCGGAAGTTGAATTCGTCCGGCTCAAGGGTGCTCATCCAGTTCTCTCCACATCGCTTCAGAGATCTGCAATACCGGCCAGTTGGGAAATTCAAACTGGCCAGCGCTGTCTAAAGGGAAGTTTACATTGTTATTTCTCTTTTATTGATTCTTTTGATTTCTCGTGCCTGGAACCATGCGGACCTGCGTCGGCAATTCAATTTATTTTTTTGGATATTCGAAATTCTTCGGAATTATTTTCGAAATTTTATTATTTTTGAACCCTTCGTTTTTTTGGGATCATCCGACCTGCGCTTACAATTTCCGTGTTTTTTTAAAATTGCTCTTTCTAAAGGACTAAAACCGATTTTATCGGCTCTTTTGTTGTTTTGGCCTGCTCGTCTCTTGAAAGATTGGGATTCGCTTTCTCGGTTCCGACTTTTATTATTATCTTTGCTTGAGTCATTCGATTTTCCCGTTGAACATCGTTCTTTTTCGTTCGACCAACGTTGACTTCTTCCCGTTAACATGGCAGCTCTTGAAGCAACTATCACGCTTCAAATGACTCGAGCAGCATTTATCGAGGAAACTTGCAATGAAGCAAAGGGGGATAGTGCGAAGCAACTTGAACTTGCTGCGCTGGATTCCAAGTTAGCGCTGCTCGAAAAATATTGGGACAAACATGAGTCCACTCATGAGAAGCTCGTAACTAGTGGTTCGAAGATGGAGGGTTTACTGGAGCGCTCTTATTTTAAAAATCAGGTTTTTGACCAAGCTCTGACTGAATACGCGTCAGTTAAGACCGCGGTCACGCAACTGACGGAGAAAAAGGAGGCTCCGAACCTCAACCAGACCATGTGCGGAAATCAGACTGAGGGTCATTTGTCCAGCTCGACACGTAGGGCACTTCCAGAGATTGAACTGCCTAAGCTCTCTGGAGTTGATAGAGAGTGGAGGCCATGGCATGACTTATTTCACTCTCTGGTCGGGAATAGCCCTGACATTCCAGGAGTTGAGCGCATGCACTACGTTCATCTCTCTCTTTCTGGTGAACCACTTAAACTGATTTCGAATTTGCCCGTCTCGGAGGATTCCTTTTGGATAGCTTGGGGAATCCTTACCAATCGCTATGAGAACCAACGTTTGCTAGTTTCAGCTCATTTAGACCAGCTTCTGCATCCGCCTTCGATGTTGTCTCACAGCGCCACGGAGTTCAATTTGTTGACCAGATCAGTCTCTGAAGCATTCAGCGCACTCAAGGCTCTAGGACAACTTACTGATCAGTGGGGTCCAGTGGTTGTCCATGTCATTGTCCGTCGACTATCCAAGAAGCTTCATGAGGCGTGGGAGAACAAGATCGGGGCCTCATCTAAGTATTCTTCTCTTGAACAGCTCACCGAGTTTCTACAAGGTCGCTCCAGGGCGATGGAAACTTTGGAAGTTGGGTCTAGTTCTCTCAACTCGATCTCGACGAAATCTTCGCAGCCCGGCGTACAATCTCGTCCTGCGTCGAAGTCCAGCGGCAAGGTCAATGCAGTGACTTTCAATCGGCCAGCTTACCAGTGCGTAAACTACAGTTCACTCCAACTCAATCATAGGCTGAGACGGGCAGGTATCCCTGTTCATATTGCAAGAGGGAGCACTACATCGCCTCTTGCAGTCAGTTCAAGAATCTCTCGCCAGCTGGTCGAAAGGAAGTCGTGGATCGTCTCTATCTGTGCTTTAACTGTCTAGGGAAGCACAGCATCAGGGTATGTCAGACCACTCGTAAGTGCTTCCAATGCCAGGAAAGGCACCATACCCTGTTGCATTTAGATCGTTCCCGTCGTCCAGCTCAACGTGGTCTAGCATCTCAAATTCCTCCCAACGATTCAGGAGCGCAGCGCCAGAGTATCTCCGTTCCATTGACCATCGTACCTGTCGTGACTTATACTCACCCCGGTGACTCTACTCAGACTATGTCTTCAGCTCATCCTCAGGCCTGAAGCGGACCATCCCAAGCGTCGATTTCTTGTTCGGCTCACAGTTGTTCTGCGCAAACCTCTCGGTCTGGAGTCCTTCTCGCAATTTGTTTAGCTGTTCTCGTTAGCGATTTTTGCCCTCCGCATCAAGTTCGACTCTTGTTGGATTCAGGTTCCGAACTCTCGCTCATCTCAGATAAGCTAGTTCGGAAGATAAATTTAAAGAAAATTCTTAGTTCTATTCACATTACAGGAGTGAGAGAATCATCGTTTGGGACAACGTTCGGCGAAGTACATCTCACGCTACAATCGATCCACTCAGAAGAACGCATTAAAGTTACAGCTCACTCTCTTGATCGTCTCACCTCAACACTACCGTCCTTCTCAGCAGAGGGCCTTAAGTGGGATCATGTCGAGGGTTTAGAGCTTGCTGATCCTCATTTTTGAGTCTCTGCACCAATTGACCTTCTCGTCGGTGCTGATGTTTTTGGCCAGGTCATTAAGCCCAACGTGATTAGAAGAGGGGTTCAGGCTCCAGTCGCTCAACTCACCAACTTTGGTTGGATTGTTTTCGGACCAGCGAGACCTGATTGCTCTTCTCATCATCTCAGCGTATCGAACGACGAGCGCAACAACCTTCTCACTAAGATTTGGGTTCAGGAGGAAATTTCTGAACGCATTGACGCAAATCTCTCAAAGGAAGAATTGGCGTGTGAACGGCACTTCCGTCAGACTCACTCAAGGGATAGCTCAGGTCGATATGTCATTCGTTCTCCCTCCTCAGCTCTAGTTTCGTCATTAGAGAATTCTTATCATCCAGCGCTAGCTTGTCTCTATCGGGTGCACGGTAGAATCTCAAAAGCTCCGCGCTTTCTCCAGCTCTACTCTGACTTTCTCAAGGAATATGCAGATCTCGACTATATGAGATCAGTAACTCGCTCAACTCATCGCTCTTCGTCTTCGGTTCAGGCGGAAACCGCTTGTCGTTCTGACGAAATGACCTTAGCACATGAAGCGCAAGCTTCAGGAGGGTTGAGGGTCTCTGAAGGGCTTCAGGTAGGGCCATCTGATGCTCACAGGAGTTACTATTTACCTCATCATGGTGTAGTCAGAGAGAGCCGTGAAACGACGAAACTGAGAGTAGTGTTCAACGGATCAGCGAAGACCAGCTCAGGGAACTCACTCAACGACATTCTCCATACAGGAGCCAAGTTGCAGAGTGGCATTTCGAACGTGCTGCTCTGATCAAGACAGCACAAGGTCATCTTTATGACGGACATCACGAAGATGTTCCGCCAGATCAGAGTTCACGAGGATGAATGGCCCCTGCAGCAGATTTTATGGACCAACTCAAGTGGAGAAATAGTCACGTATCAACTGACAACAGTCACATATGGCATAAGATCAGCTCCGTTTCTCGCAAATCGTGTTCTTCTTCAGCTGGCTGAGGATGGAAGATATCGGTTCCCTTTGGCCGTCTCGCCCATCGTGAGAGGAAGATACGTCGACGACATCTGTGGAGGTGCAGACACGCATGACCAACTCGTTAGGACCGCTCAAGAAGTTCGTGATCTCTGTGTTGCTGGAGGAACACCTCTGGCAAAATGGCATAGTAATAGTCCAGCGCTACTCCAGTGGCTCGCTCCTGATAGTGCCTCCAATGTCCAGCGAGTTTATGAGGATTCGGACACCCGGATTCTTGGTTTATCGTGGCAGCCCAGCTCGGATAACTTCGTCTACTCAAGACGGACCAGCGATGAATCGAAAGTCTCTAAGAGGAACATTCTCTCAGAGATCGCTCCGATCTATGACCCGCTCGGAGTTCTATCTCTTGTCGTGATCGGAGGAAAACTGCTCATGCAGGGGACTTGGAGTCGTAAGCTCGGCTGGGATAAGGAAGCCCCAGGACAAGTAGCTCAGCGTTGGAAAATGTTCCGTAGTGATCTTGGTCTGCTTTCGAAGCTATCTGTACCAAGATGGCTAGGCCTGCTCGAGAATTCGTCGATTGAAATCGATGGATTCTCAGATGCTTCTGTTCTCGCGATGTCAGCCGTCGTCTATCTCTTCAATGGTAATTAAGAGTCTCGTATTACATTGGCCTGCTCAAAAACGAAAGGAGCTCCTCTCAAACGGCTGACGATCCCAAGGCTAGAGCTCACAGCTGCGGTTATTCTTGCCAAACTCGTAAGGTACGTCAAAGAACAGCTCGATCTCTCAAACGCTCCGACGTTCTTGTGAACCGACTCATCAGTTACGCTTACGTGGATCCACTCACACCCGTCCAGATGGAAGGAATTCGTAAGAAATCATGTCCAGCTCATACAAGAGATCTCGCAAGCTCAATGGAAACTCGTTCCTGACAAGGAAAACCCAGCTGATTGCGCATCTCATGGGCTAACCACAGCTCAGCTCTCTTCACATGAACTCTGGTGGCACGGACTACCATGGCTCATGAAAAGCTCATCGTCTTGGCCATCTCTAGAGCTCGCTTCAGTGGTATCAGCAGATCTTCAAGAGAAACCTGGTGTCATTCTCAACATGAAGGTCCAGCGCCCAGATATCTGGGATTTACTTCATCGCTATTCTTCATTCAGCAAACTGCTTCGCGTCATTGCTCGTCTCCGAAGAATTCCTGGATCATCGTTAGCAACAGCTCTGAACCCTGGTGACATCGAGCAAGCCCGACTACTCTGGATCAAGCCCACTCAGTCTGCGCACTTCTCAGCTGAGCTTACGACCTTGTCCAGAGGACAACATCTTAGCTCATCTCACCCACTCACAGCGTTTCTGACAGCGTTTCTGGATCACCGGGGCGTTCTACGCGTTGGAGGACGCCCAAAATTTGCTCAGCTCAACTGCGAAAATAAGCATCAGATCATCGTATCTTGGGATTCTCAGTTCGCTCAACTCATCATTCGAGGTGCTCATCTCAGAACTCTACATGGAGGAACGCAGCTCACTTTTGGCCAGCTCAGACGATCTTACCGGATTCTCGGAGGAAGAGCACCAGTAAGATCGTTCATTCTCAAGTGCGTTCCTTGCTCTAGACAACGAGGGATCAAAGCTCAACAGCTCATGGGTCAACTCCCAGTTTCACGTCTCACACCTGGCTGCCCGTTTCTCAACACTGGCGTTGATTACGCCGGACGAGTGGGAAGGGCGTGGTCATAAGTCGTACAAGGGATGGCTTGCTATATTCATCTGCATGAAAGCGTCCGTTCATCTCGAGGTCGTCTCAGACTATTGAAGCTGAAGGATTCATCTCAGCATATCGTCGTTTCGTTGCTCGTGGGGGTCTCTGCAGGAACTTTTTCTCGGATTGTAGGACAAATTTTCTGGGAGCCGACAAAGAATTAAAGAAGCTCTTCTCAATAGCGTCTCAGGGATCTGATCAACTCGCTCATCTCTTGCTCAACAATGGAACCAAGTGGTCTTTTAACTCTCCAGATGCTCTACACTTCGGAGGTAAATGGGAAGCCGCGGTGAAGTCGGTGAAGTTCCATCTCAAGCGGATGATCGGCGATGCTCTGCTCACATTCAAGGAACTCCAGAACATTTCCTGATTGGTCAGGCGTTGACAGCATTGCCTGAGCCTTCTGGACGACTTGAGCATCGCTTGTCTCTCTCGTTGGCAGCTTATCCAGCAGAAGGTTCAATGCTGTTGGAAAGGGTGATGCACTAGCTATCTGTAACATCTCCAGTCCATCTCCAAGTGGCACCACCCAACGCACAACGTGAAGGTTGGCTCTATAGTCCTTCCCACCGACGAGAGGTTTCCACCAACGAAGTGGCCTCTCGCTCGAGTCATCGGTCTCCATCCTGGTAGAGATGGATTCACCAGGATGGTAACCATCAAGACGTCCAGTTCTACTCTACAACGGCCTATCTCGAAGCTCGCTCTACTGCCAGTCTCGACCAGCGATACATAAGATCGTCTTGACCAGCGACACCTAAGATCATCTCGACCAGCGATAACTAAGATCATCTGACGTGATGACAGCTCTACATCATCGAGTTCATCGTAGTCCATGTTCGGATTGAGTCATGGTGAGGATTTATGACCCTCGCTGTGGCAACTAGTTCGGAGTGGACGTGAGTCTGCCAACGTCTGATGGAATTTACGCCTCCTACGTTCTCGGCTGTACTCACACCTGACCGTCACTGGTGAACTACGATGGTGATATTGGTCTTCGAGAAACTATTGTCCTAAGCATTATAAATCATTTTTTTGTTACAAACCTACTCGATAGTGTCAGCTGTCACTGACGGCGGGGGAGAATATTCGGTTTTTCACCGACTTATTTTTTCCACACACACGCAAAGACGTACTCACGCACAGTCGCTCTGATCGCATGCTTGCATGGCTTCGCACAACTGCCGTGCGCAATCGCCTCAAATGATCAGTGGCCTCTCACCTCTAGCACCTGAGGCGCCACATGATGGACAGGTGTCCAGTGAACGCCCCCATTTGCTATTTGGGGCACGTTCACACCTTTGATTTCTGCTATCTGCCACCTCGTGGCCTACGGATCGACCTCATTTGCTTTTCGGTCATCGTATTGTATACATTGTGTTCTGCGAATATATTTTTTCTCTCGAGTTCCGCGTATTAATTGCCCTCCGTTATTTAATGTTTTGAACTGCGTTAATTTTTATTGTGACCCGCGTTATTTGTTTTAACCATGTCGATAATTACGCTAAACTCAACACGTGTAAATATTGACTATTTATTGTGATAATTAAACGGACTTTTGTGACCAACGTGCACGTGTTGTGATTTCTGAACCTTCTCGCGCGCCCGTAACAATCCATTCACATCTCACTCATCGCTCGTAAATTCCGCAAAAATCAGATCCGGCATCGAATAAATGTAGAATCATTAGAATAACATAAAATGTCAAAATATGACAACCAACGTAGTCATAAGATGGAAAATGTCATAATATGTCAAATGATGTCATAAGATGACATATTCTGTCATGCCCCATTAGTCATTATTTGTCAGATTATGACATATTTTTCGACCAATATCCAAGGTTAAAAATCCCGGAAAATTGTCAAAATTATGTTATTAATATAGTTTGTACTTTTTCGGGAGAAATATGACGGAAAATGACAAAATTCAGCAAATTATGAAAGAAAACGTACTAATTTAAAATATTCTGTAAAAAAGTGTACTTATATGACAGAATTTGTCGAAATTGAATTTCAGTTAATGTCAGAAAATGTCAAAAGTACCATAAACTAATGAATTATGACAAATACCTACAAAATGTGATAATTAATTACAAAAATGGACATTTCAGAAAACTCCCAGAACAGTTATAATATTATGACAAATTATGGCAGATTCTGTAAAAATGTTAAATTTTTTGAATTATTGATGATATGAGGTGATTTTTTTTCATTCAAACTACAATTTTCCTCCGTTATAAAGCATCCAGAGTAAGATCGAGTGATTATTTTTCTTCTGAGTTATGGGTATTTAAAAAAAAAGTCATGAGTGTCCGTTTTACTCCACCGTCCCTCATTATCAAAAAATTAAGGGTGATTTTAAAACCGATTGACTATTTCGCTGCTGAATTTTCAATGGAATTTATAGTTATCTGAGAAAATTCAATTTTCCTGGAGTAATTGGATGCATAGACTGTACAGACTGTACAGACTGTACACATGTGGCTATCGTTCCACCAAGGCCTGAGATCGAATATGCTTACGTGAACTGTAGTATGCTCAGTGTACGCTCAGTGTACTAGGTTGTAGAGAGAGGGGTGGATTGCAGGTGGAAACGGGTTATTGGGCGGTCAAAACTACAAAAAAAAGAAAGAGGTCGATATTGTCTTTACTTGTTTCACTATTGAAATTTTCCAAAATAAATAATTTACATACTTTACATCATGGTTTTACAAACAAAAGAAAATCGACTAAAAACCCACAGATAAAAAAAATCCGGGGAAAATCGACATCTCAAAAAAAAAACACAAAAACCACCAGTAAATTATTTAACAGCCGTTTCATCAGATCGAAGGCCACCACACATGGCTGAAGGCCAACGTGAGGGAAGCCACCATGAGTGGGGAACCGACGCCATGCTCAGTGGCTCGGATAAAACAAGAAAACCAAGAAAAATTCACGTTTGGGAGTTTCTTGGTGACGCGACCCTTCTTCTTCACCATTGTGAACTCCTCGAGACAGCAAAAGTACTTCAAAGTGCACACAAAATAATCCAAAAAGGCACTGTTAATCCTAAGTAACACACAGTATGTCACACGCGACTAGTATTGACGCGGGTCGACGCCAGTGTTACCAGATCGTGACATTACCCCATTTAAAATTGTACAAGTTTTGGCTATAAATCGCCAAAATCTGGCAACCCTGGTCGACGCGGAACTCATTTCGGGGGTCCGTGTCGTGCGGAACAGTCGACGAGCGCGAATTCCGGCCAATCGAGACAAGCTCTGATTGGAGGAGCCATTTTTCCATCAGTGGTGTGAACCTTCAGGGATCGGCCGAATAAAATCGGGAAAAGCGAGGTCGCGAACACAAAATATATCTAAACGAATTTTTAATCCTCGAATTCTTTAACTCAACCAATTATAAATTATTACCTGACTAAAGCGAATGGGTGGACGTTCGAAAAATGACGGAAGGTTTTTGGCGCCTCCCACGGATCGGTTCTCCGGGATTCACGTAACTCGCTGGAGACGAGGGTTGCGCTCGCTTGAATGACCTCCCACCAAAACTCAAAAGGTAGCCAATTAATCCCCGAAAAATCTACTAAAATTTGGTGCGCCGGTATTTCAACCGGGCCTACTCGATTATCCGCAAGATTAACAAAAGGGGGAATCCCATAAGACTACCGGATGACTCCTAAATGTTGGTCCTTCTTCGCGAAAATATTATGGGCCCTCAAAAATGCGTAAATAGGCAGATTTTGAAAACGACCAACAAAAATTAAGTTATAATCCTAAAAAATGGAAATTCAAAACTCGACCTTTATCACGCCAAAGCAGGAAAATCTAAATTAATTCGACATAACCACAATCGGGGACATTTCTCTCACCGAAGGATACTTTGGAAAAATGTAGGAAAAATACGTTCTCAATTTCAATTCAAGTATCAATTCGTGATTTCACCTATGTATCACAAAAAGTTTGATTCTGCGTATCGATTAGAATATTTAAAAAAAGGGGCGATTGAAATATCAATTGTGACAACGCCCGAAGTATTGAAGGCAAGCATTATCGAACCACGCATTTTACCAGCAATTCTCGCTCCACCATCAATAACGCTTTCACCTCGATATCAGAACCCCGTTGAGTGACGGACGTGCACCCAGACAACCAACTTCACATCACAGCGGGACCTCAGTCAAATCTCACGCAATGTTGTCCAGTTTCCCCACAACCCCTCACCACTTCCGCCATGTTCGAAATTTCAACTGAAAGTCACCCTCTCATTGGCCAACTTTAAACCCTTATAATTTAATCAATTCACCCCCTAGAATGTTTTACTATTTTTCCCCGCATACAATCCACCCCGAGAATTGACCCATAACCCCGTCGTGACCTCCCATGAGACACCCTGTACACTCATTTATCAAACATAAGCTCGAAGGCCAAAATAACTATACTATTAGAAATTAATTACGAACCATCGTCCAATTCAAAGGTCGATCACTTGACACAAACAAGAGAAAGAGACACATAATTGACAGCTACGATATTGTTAACTTATTATTTCACTATACTGGTTTTAGTAGGTGGTGCAGTCACTGAATTATGAATAAATAATAGTTCACTACAAAGAGGCAATTTGTTGAGTAGCCGTAATGGGAAATTTTACAGCCCATCAGCCGGTTCGTCGAACAAATACACTTAATGTTTATTACGTGGGATTTAGCACTACGTAGGTATGCGTAATTGTGCTGGCATTTATCCCGATACTCGGATCATCAGTAAGCGCCGGGCAGAGGGATTAAAACTGATTCCAAAATCAGGTACTAGATGATCGCGAGGAGTTCGCCCCTTTGTACGTTCTTTATTGAAGTTAGGGCGAGACTGACAATAAATTCGGAAAAACGTATGAGCCCGCGTTCGGTCAATGCTCGAGTGTATTGAACGAAACGCTGATTGCGCTTGTTTCTTTTAACGAAACTTCGAATGTGTGTC